TATTCGCTTTTAAAATTTATTTACCTTACCAGTTCCTTAGTGGTGCACCCCCTCCTAAGAAAAATCCTGGATCCGCCCCTCGGTCGGGCAACGTTTCTCACTGCAGACGGCGCTGAATATTCACGGAAAGGGATTTATAATTCTAAAGGCCCTATCTGAGATTGTAAAAAGTGAAAAGCATGAAACATTTTGTTTTAATTTGGTGCCAAAAACAAGTCGTTCGCGTCCTGGAAATCACTCTTAGTTCGTCGAGTATCGCCAGGTAGGATAATAGTTGTGTGTATTTTGAGAAAAATATGTTGTTCCTCGTCAAATTAAACCCAGGATTCTTAAGTTAAGTGTTAGAAGAGGCCAAAGCAACTTTAGCATTGTGCGAGTAATGTTTGTTAGCTGCGAAGGAAAAGACTGATATCGTGTCGTTTCGGTAGGACAGCTTGGTCTTGACCGTCGCTCGTACTGCAGGCCTAGTCGCCGTATGCAAAGAAAATCAGTTGATCGAAAAGTTAATTGAGCACAAAGGATAACGAGGTTTTTCGTAAATGAGCCAATAACTTTGCAGAATACAAACAACATCTCCACAACAAGATCTGAAAACCGACAAAATTGTCGTATGTTGTAGTCTCCTCAACTCCTTCAAAGCAACCTCGTTCCCAGGTCTTCTCTCTACTTTCTCAAAGGAGAGAGAGAGGACACTAGCTCCCCGTTCCTTGTTGCGAGTCTCTCAGGCAATTTTGTCCTTTTTTGAATCAGGTNGGGCAACGTTTCTCACTGCAGACGGCGCTGAATATTCACGGAAAGGGATTTATAATTCCAAAGACCCTATCTGAGATTGTAAAAAATGAAAAGCACGAAACATTTTGTTTTAATTTGGTGCCAAAAACAAGTCGTCCGCGTCCTGCAACTCACTCTTATTTCGTCGAATATCGCCAGGTAGGATGACAGTTGTGTGTATTTTGAGGAAAATATGTTGTTCCTCGTCAAATTAAACCCAGGATTCTTAAGTAAGTGTTACAATAGGCCAAAGCAACTTTAGCATTGTGCTAATGTTTGTTAGCTGCGAAGAAAAAGACTGATATCGTTTCGTTTCGGTAGGACAGCTTGGTCTTGACCGTCGCTCGTACTGCAGGCCTAGTCGCCGTATGCAAAGAAGATCAGTTGATCGAAAAGTTAATTGAGCACAAAGGATAACGAAGTTTTTCGTAAATGAGTCAATAACTTTGAAGAATACAAACAACATCTCCACAACAAGATCTGAAAACCGACAAAATTGTCGTATGTTGTAGTCTCCTCGAGTCGTTCAAAGCAACCTCGTTCCCAGGTCTTCTCTCTACTTTCTCAAAGGAGAGAGAGAGGACACTAGCTCCCCGTTCCTTGTTGCGAGTCTCTCAGGCAATTTTGTCCTTTTTTGAATCAGGTTAATTTTTATGAAGAATATAAAAGTGGAAATCGACACAACGTAGGGTGATTTTTTAAGGTGCACTGTATTTCGGCTGGCCAAACCAGCCTTGTTCAGGTACAATTTATCCTGGAATTTCAGTGGATTTTATCCTGGACTTTGAGTGGCCTTCAACGGTTTCGGTTTGGCCTTGGATCTGTGACGTGTATACAACATAGAGAAGACTATATTATGCAAATTCAGGTAAAGTAAATACGTGTACACGTAGTGGGCAGAACTTACTCGCAGCACAGTTGGATAGTCTGCACGCTTCAACGACATTGGTCAGTCTACGAAAAACATCCTTAACCTTTGTTCTCAGTAAACGTTTTGACACGACGGGTCCGTTTTCTTCCAAAAGGCACGTTTCATTCTAATCAGTCTCATTCGTATGGTAATATAGGATGATGTTTACTCAATTTTCGAATCATTTTTTTTTAAGTAACAATACATTGTTGCTGGTCAACTGTTCACGTGAACAGTGGCGTGATGTTGTAGCTGATCGAACAAGGATTCAGTGATCAGACAGAAAAAAAGATCTGTCAATTATCCGTAGCAGTATTTGCTGAAGAACTTCTGTTATTTTTAGCGTCTTTTTCCTGTTACAAAGGCAGAAAGATGCCTAGCCACAGCCTAAATGTTAATCGTATCAATATGTTAAGTAAATGCACTTCTTTCATCTTGTATGATTAGGGCTTTTGTATCTCAGGTCTGGACTATTCTATTTTAAGTCATTATCAATATGATGGCTGGAATATTAAACAGGTCAAAGGTCGCGTTTGTTGAAATAAACGAAGAATGGAAAAATTGTTCCCCCCTTAGACACGATGTCCGAGGGATGTGGCGGTCTACATGTTTTCGTGACACCTCAACATGTCGATTTCTTTTGGATTAAACGTTACATAAGAAAGTCTCGACTCGGGTTCGCAGTAAAAATGTTAACCTCGCCTTTCTTTAAAAGTATCGAGTTCACCATTGCGGTATTTAAAATGAGCTGAGCACAATTTAGTGTGANCCCTAAAAACACAGGCGTTCAAAGGTGAGTAAAAACGGCCTTTCACGCCTTTGATTTGGTGGTAAAGGTTCATTCACAGATGATCTTTGATTCGCGTCACAGATCGTCAAAAGCGTGCAAAGGCGACCTTTACAAAACCTTTAACAAGACATTTGACGCGCGGTAAAGGCGATTTTTCGTGCCGTGTTTTATCTTGTATGATTAGGGCTTTTGTATCTCAGGTCTGGACTATTCTATTTTAAGTCATTATCAATATAATGGCTGGAATATTAAACAGGTCAAAGGTCGCGTATGTTAAAATAAACGAAGAATGGAAAAATTGTTCCCCCCTTAGAGACGATGTCGGAGGGATGTGGCGGTCTACATGTTTTCGTGACACCTCAACATGTCGATTTCTTTTGGATTGAACGTTACATAAGAAAGTCTCGACTCGGGTTCGCAGTAAAAATGTTAACCTCGCCTTTCTTTAAAAGTATCGAGTTCACCATTGCGGTATTTAAAATGAGCTGAGCACAATTTAGTGTGAAAGTATAAAGGCCAGCGCGCTTGTAACGCTAATATACAACAGTAACGCACTTCTGAACAACACATCTGAAGTCTCTGAACGAAAATGCGAGCGCAGTGCGCCTTTATCTACGCATCTGCTATTACTCACGTATGCTTGCTGCAGACAGTCCCAGATATCGCATTCAGCGAGGTCTCGCAGATTTAATATCGAGGCTGTTAAACACAGTTTGTAAAATGCAAATGGTTACTTGACTTGCTGCCCAACTGAAACCGTTGCATAGTTCAATAAACTACCTAAGATTTTGATATTACTTTAAAACACTCTGTCTCCGATATCATATCAGATAGGTAATGAGCTTTAAAATTTTCGTGCAAATCGAGTGGGACCTAAAATTGACCTTGCGTGCTACTGAATAGCGTCTGGTGCAAATGGCATGAATATTTGTTTGGACGCGAAAACAGTCTTCTATTTAAAAGTTAGGATGATGCATAGGAGAATTTAAATACCAAATAATTCTGTTTTTAAAATAAGCTGGGCAGTCAAAAAGTCAAACAAGAACCTCTGCTTTATAGGCAAGATTTCAATTTCAACGACGGTGGAACTTTGATACTAAATATTTTAAAATTCGCATGCATCAAAAAGCACAAATTATTAGTTAACTATAAAAATATACACAATAAAAATAATACATTCTATAGATCCCTTGCAATACCTCGTAAATGATCAAAAATTGGCTTTCCGCACAGCACAGGCTTCGTTCACTAAACGATGAACGTGTAGGCTTGCACGCTGGAGATAATAAAGGCGTTTACCAGGCTTACCTGCGCTTATTGGACAGTCATAATCTCTGTTATGCAATCAAAGAAGATAATGATTATCGAAGGGGGGAGATGTGATTTGACCATGCTAACAGAAAGCCAATATCTCGCGCAAGAAGTGTATAATTAATTTTTCACTTGTGACCTTTGTTACTAGTGAAAAACATGTAATATTTCATTGGTATTACCTGTATGTTTGGTATATATCTCTAATGTTGTTGGTGGTTATGATTAGCTGATCAGTTTCAAAATATCCCTTATTTGATGTTGTCTGGTTTGGTCAGTTTACAGTTGAGATTAGCAGCAATTTCAGACCGCTGTGGGCTCCTCCGGTCGTCACGTTGACAAGCGATGTGTAATCACTTAAATATAACTACCTCCGTTAATTAAAATTCAAAACTCTTCGAATGACACTTCAACCTGGTCACATATTACCAAACTAATTATTCATTCTCTCATGAATTAGTATTGGTTTTTCGACTCGTGTACCACAAGCTTTGCACTATCGTGTTATGTGCACCGTTGGGCATCACCCACTCCGTCAGCGTTATATTGTTCATGACACTGCCCCCCTTTCTTTCCGCCCCTCTTAGTTGCTGGAGGGATATGGTAAAAAACCCGACACGGGTTCTTTGTTGTTTATTTTGTCCACGTTTCTAGCCTTGATTGTGCACAATTCAATTCAATTCTGACTGAGCCTGAACTAACCAATAGAAACGTTTCGCGGTTACGTCATTCATGTATACTGCATGAGCGTAAAACAAAAGATTGTGACGGATCGTGTCAAAGTGTCAGTTCCAGAAAAATCGAGACGCATAATATTTCAAGGTTCCTCGCTTCATTCGAATAATTAAGTCGTGCAAAATGGTCTTTGAATCAAAACAGCCTCTGAAATTTTCTAAGTTTCTGAATTCCAGATGGTTGACGGATGTGAAAGATCACGAGTTAAAGAAACCTAACATAGTCGTGAATATCTCCAACAAAGACGCCATCATTTCTGGCCCGGAGCCTCGCAAAGTCTTACCTCCGCGCAAGTCGACCATTTTACAAGGTAACAGCAGTGATGTTTTACACAAGTTGAGTATGATTGTTGCTCGAAATACTCAACAATCAATATCAGTCGCATGGGTAAATGTGTATTGAAAGTAAATGCAAATGAGATTTTTCACTATATTAAAATAGTATTTAAATTCTTGAGTTTACTGTAATGCAAGCGGTATAAGCACAGGGGACCAGAGCCCCTTGGGAGCCTTCGACATTGTATGACATCGCTTAATGGAAGTTGAAGGAAAAAAAATCGATAACAATGAATTACTTCGAAACTTTGTTTGTGAGTTTTAGTCTCTTTGTTTTCCTCCGAGGAAACTAAAAAACAAAATAATTTGCTGGAATCGCTTGGAAGCGGACCCAAAACGGCATAGAAACACAATTACAAACAGAAGAGTTGAAGAAAGTCATTTTATTGTATTTCTTTTCCATATCTCGAACTGTTATATGCTATCGTTACATTCCCACACAAACTCTTAGTGTGTATTGGACTGTTGAGTTTAATTTACTGCATAGTATTAATGAAAAGATTTGATCTATTCTCGTATTTTACGCTCTAGGGTTTGCATGGCATACATCACGTCATTGCTATTATAGGTTGTATTGGACTTGCAGCCAATAGGACTAAGGTCTCTCAAATGAAGCTCTACGGCGCACTTCTAGCAACGAGAGTCCGCTATAGCGATATTTACACTCGGGAAGAAAAGATAAGGAAAAATACTGCAAATTATTATATCTCTCAGTTAGTACGCGCGCTGTGATTGGTCAATTTAGCGGGCCGTAATCTACTGTACGGCCCGCTAAAATTTAAAGCTGTTTTTGTTGCCAAAATGTTTCGTGATTTATTGCCAAGAGTTCTTAACTTTTTTAGCAATTCAAAGTTTAAAACTTTCTTTTACCTCTGAAATTGTGTATTAGAACCTGCTAACGACTTAAGAGTCACTTAACAACGATTTCAAATTGAGTCGTTTTGCTTTCGAGGTGCGTCAAAAATTTGAAACCGTTCCGCGTGAATAGTAATCGTTTCCGAACCCGTTAGACACACAGTACAGATATAACAAATATCTTACTAACCCGGTTTTCTCGGTCCGTACTGTAAGTTACGGATCCTCGTTTTTCCCCTTTGATTTATGGCCCGCGCTTCGCGCTTCGTTCCTTTGTTCTTTTTAATTCCATTATTTTCGGTCTAATGTGTCTTTTACTCCCTTTAGGGCCTCGCAATACAATCAAACTCCTATAGGCCCTTTGCAGGATCTGGTCACATGGTAAGGAATTAATTACGCTGGGACGCAAGTTACGCAGTGGGACTTCCAAAACAAAGGAAAGTCGGGCTGGACTGGTACGAGTTCCTTTGTTTTGGAAGTCCCACCGCGTAACTTGCGTCTTGGTATAATTAATTCCGTACCATGTGACCGGATCGTGCAAAGGGTCTATTAAGCGGCCTGGCCACTTAATTGGGGTTGGCCGCTTAATTCGTGTACTTGGAATGTCTTTTTACCATCGGGTTAATTGCTTAGTGAGCGTGGAATCACGTCAAGACATCATTACGTCAACAGCTCGTGCTAGTTCTGTGTTTCCATCGCGTTATAGAAACACGAATTTTAACCAATCAGCGAGCGTATGCAACTTCGCCACCGTTTTAGGGCTCGACGCAGCCTTTTTAAAGGTGGTTCAAAACAGTTTTCAGCGTTTTACGCATATTTTGATGTTCCTTTGTAACCACTCTCTATCGGTTGATGCTAAAATCATGGTATCAAAAAACTGCCCAATCATTGGTGAACACGTTGTTATCTTTTTCGAGCCTCAATAGGTTATTGTAATAACAGTATGGCCTGCTGAAAACACCCTTATTTTGAGTTTATAATCAAAAACTGGCACTGTGAAAGCCATCTTTTATTATCGAATTTTGATAAGTGGGATAAGAAGTAACTCTTGGCAAAGTTTTAAAAACATCTGTTGATGGGGTTCAGAGCCACCTTAAATTTTCGAAAATTTAAGTTGATTGTAGCTTCAACTGACAAAGAGTGGTTATAACAGCCCATCAAAATCTGAGTCCTGGAAAGTGCTGGGAACTTTTTTGAGCCACCTTAAGGTAAGAAAAAGAAGCACAAGGCAGGCAAGGATTGGAGCAGGAGCAGCGACAACTGACTTCTACCATTTTAATGTTTAATTTCAGGTGTAAGCATCATTAGTGCCGAGTCCCTTATCCTCATCAAAGTCCCGGAGGAAACCAACATCGGTGGCATGGTGCTAGAAGATGGCTGGTGCCAGCTGACAGCACAAGACCCGACTTACCCGAAGGATGTCCCGTTGTACAAATCCCCTCAGTTTGATGTTGGCTCGGTTGAATTCGATCCTTATCTAGTGACTGGATCAAAAGGAGGCGCTGTTAAGAAGTACAACATCAAAGTCAATGTGTGGTTTTGTCCAGCGAAAACCAACTGTGGCATCCATAACCACCACACGGTCCCAGAAATGCTTGAGGTACACACACAGATTTATGGAACGGGAAGAATGCAGAAGTTTCACGAGAAGGAGTTCAAGAGCATCTATGAAGATGTAATAATGTGTCCTGGCTTCACTCATGAGCCCTTCGCTGGCGTCAAGGAAAACGGCGACATCTACTATGGCTGGCATCAGTATTATTCTGATACCGATTGCATCTGGATGGCAATCGAGCATCACCCGGCTTAATTCGGGGAACACTTGGCAATGTTCGGGGATAACTCGGCTATGTTCGGGAATCACTCGTGTTAAACTCGTTAACAGTTAACAGTCAAATTGAAACTTCTAAGCAGAAGAATAACAATAGACATATTTATACATAAAATAATTATATCAAGTGGTAGACCGTTATATATCCGTGTTCGGCAACAAAGAAATTTATATATCTTGTATAACCTGCGTAGAGGGAAGAATAAACATTTGTCCAGCTACTTTTCCTTCCTCTTGTCTGCCGTTCTTTCTTCCTCAGCGATGAAGAGAAAAAAACCAGTAACGTGCCCATGGTCTGCGCGCGAGGCGAGTGGAATTAAAATGCGCGTTACGGGTAATTAAATGCCATGCATGTCTTTCGCGAAGCGCGATACACGCGCTAGAGGTATCGCGCGTCTTGAATTTTCTGTAAAATCCCCTTCAAATGACCGCCAGTTTTGCAAATGAAAAATGCGCGTAGTGCAAGACACCCAAATTAGAAATGTAATGCGACTATTAGAGGTTCTATGAGTATCGGGAACAAAACAAAATTCCAAATAACAGCCGTTGAGTTGAAGAAAAGTGCTGTGAATCGGCTCTTTAAAAATTGTTTTCCACTCGAACATAAAACAGTTGAACGGAGTTTTGAAATACTCGGTTGTTATACAAAGATCTTATCTGAGATTGCCAGCTCACAGGCTGAAAATATAAAGTGGGTCGGGCTAGAGGGGATATGAACAGGATTGCTCATGTTTAAGGCACCCTAGGGTGCCCATGTAAAAATATAGATAAGTAGTACTGCTTAAACCCCCAGGGCGACCCCAATGTAAAAGTGACGGGGTTATTGTTGGAAATGTCTAAAAGAATCCCGAAACGTTACTAGAATCTCGTTTTCAAGACGTAGCCCAGATTCAATTTAATTTACTCCTGAAACATGAAAAGCTCCGTCATATTTTTTTTTTTTTTGCTTAATGCTCTCTCAAGACAATTAAGAATTTTTGGAAGTTTTTGGCCGTCAGAAGTCACGTGACCTAATTTGCATATATCATCCAGCTAAATATGACGAGATTTGCACGACTATTAGTCTGAAAAAGTTTTAGGTTAATGTGTACAAAGCCTTAGAAGACAGACCATCCCCCTAATTTTTGGGTACAATAAGGAAAGAGACATTCCTAAATTGTCTTGAGCGAAAAAGTTCCGGGATAAGTCTAATGATGATGGTATTTGATTAAAACACCTCATAGTTAATCTTAGAGGGTTATGGAGCCAAACAAAGTTCTTTGTTATATGTTTTTTTTCGTTTTTTTGGCCTTGATCGTCCACAAAACACATAATAAGGTGTTTACATCTGTCTGAAGAACCAATAGAAACATTTCGATTGCGTAATTTGTGTATTGTGTATGCAACCTCCTCCCCAGGGCCTTCTCCACTTCTCAAAATGGCGGACAGCCGCCATTTTGAAAATCGTTCAGGAGAGGGCCCTGGGGACGAGGTTGTGACGGCAAAACAAAAGATCGCGCATGGGCGTTGCCTTTACACATAAATCTTTTCATCTTTGTTTACTTCTTTGAACTGAGTTTACGGGGCCTCATAACCATTCGCTATTATATCCGTTTTGCTGCCAGGGAACATCCCCTCTGCTTCATGGCAAGGGAGGTTCCACTTCGTGTCTAATTTCGTTTTGAACAACCGAAATTTTTTTAAAAAATTTTAACGCCTCTTTAGTCATGATCATTACAAAGAATGGTCTCTCCACCTTTTACCCTTCATTTATTCCAATCGAGGCATGCAAGATAAAACTAAGCTGCTACTGTTTTGTATTGTATTGATCAACGAGTAATGATCTGAAAACATATCCTATTATATTTTCTCTTCTTCGATGAGCTAAATTTCCAAACGACTGTCAACGTACTACAGTAAAGTTCTGGTTTAGCTGCTTTTCAAGTGAAATAAAAGGATGTAAAGAATTCTGCCTTTTTTCTTTTCCAAAGAAATGTCAACATTCGACAGTTGTGAAGCGTTTCCGATTTTTGTTTGTGTGAAATAGAAAATATGAAGTTCTTCTTACTAAATCTAAATTGTATGTTACTTGATTACTATTTCTTGTTTAAGATCGGCCGAGAGATTCTCCAAAATCACCGAGTTTTCGCCGAATTAAGCTGGGTGATGCTCGATTGCCATCCAGATGCAATCGGTATCAGAATAATACTGATGCCAGCCATAGTAGATGTCGCCGTTTTCCCTGACGCCAGCGAAGGGCTCATGAGTGAAGCCAGGACACATTATTACATCTTCATAGATGCTCTTGAACTCCTTCTCGTGAAACTTCTGCATTCTTCCCGTTCCATAAATCTGTGTGTGTACCTCAAGCATTTCTGGGACCGTGTGGTGGTTATGGATGCCACAGTTGGTTTTCGCTGGACAAAACCACACATTGACTTTGATGTTGTACTTCTTAACAGCGCCTCCTTTTGATCCAGTCACTAGATAAGGATCGAATTCAACCGAGCCAACATCAAACTGAGGGGATTTGTACAACGGGACATCCTTCGGGTAAGTCGGGTCTTGTGCTGTCAGCTGGCACCAGCCATCTTCTAGCACCATGCCACCGATGTTGGTTTCCTCCGGGACTTTGATGAGGATAAGGGACTCGGCACTAATAATGCTCACGCCTGCAATGTGTGACACGAAAGCGACAAGAAATGTTACAATTCAGTTGTCGCAGATCAACCACTTTTTATGATCTTTGCCTCCCCCCTTCACGCATTTTAAGTATGAAATATGCCTCTGTAAAAAAAAAAGGAATCATATTAGGTATATTTTCTTGTTCCATATTCACACAAAGAAAGTCCTTTTCTTTGGTCGCAAAGCGACAAAACTCGCAAAATCAGATGTCGTGACTAGCATGGATTGCTGGAGACACAACAAATAGCCCACATTTAATTTAGAGGTATATCGAAGCAGTTTAATACTTTAAGTTAATCAAATCAAAAAGCACTTCTGTTCTTGCCGTCTTCGACCTAAATCTTTTCCACCTAAATCTTTTCCTCCTAAATCTTTTCCTCCAAAAACTTAGTTTGTAGTTATGCGACACAGTGTGTTGCCCAGTTTCCGGCAACAACAATAACAACAACAACAACAACAACAACAACAACAACCATTTATTTGTACTCCAAAAAAAAAAGTGAATCGGTTATTTTCGTTGAGAATTGTAATTCCTCCTACACCGAAACAACCCGACGGAAATACGAACATTTCAGCTATAATTTGATGGTTTCGGCGGGCTTTTTGGACCAGAAACGACTAAGCAAGGACGAATTTTGTTCAGGTGAGTAAACGTTCAGCGACTAATTTTTGCGAGTGTCACTGCACACTAAAGCTACCGTTTATATCAAGGAACTTGTTAGCTTTACCAGAAATGTCATAATTTCTTTAATACTTGAGGAAGGAAGCCAAGCTTTGAACATTTTGAAGGAAGCCAAACGAACTTTATTTGATAGAAAACTGAGAAATGTTTCTTGCATATTCGTGAAGTTATAACGATTACAAACTCTAACCATATACTGTGACCGATATAAAACGAAATCTTCACCATGTCTTAAACCTCGAACATTCATATCGTCTATATCACCTGAATTAATGGTAAACCAATAAATTAAACTCCCAACGACCATACAACCTAGTGTAAAATATAAGTGTTATTACCTTGTAAAATGGTCGACTTGCGCGGAGGTAAGACTTTGCGAGGCTCCGGACCCGAAATAATGGCGTCTTTGTTGGAGATATTCACGACTATGTTAGGTTTCTTTATCATGTGATCTGTCACATCTGTCAACCATCTCGACTTCAGAAACTTGGAAAATTTCAGAGGCTTTTTTGAGTTAAATACCATTTTCCTCAGCTCCTTAGACTCTAATCTGTCGAAGCGTGCAGGATAAATTAATCTCAGTTTCTATCTGTTGACCTGGGTGATATTGCCTGTCTCAAGATGCAAATTTCTTTAGTACGTGTTCTTGTCACACAATACTACCAGGCCTACAAAAACGTGACAATTTCAAACTCTTTAGCCGTTTTACAGCACTTCCCGATTAGTCGAAGTAATTTTTGTTCTGTTCCATTGGCCTAAGACTTTAGAATCAAAAATCAAATATCATGCTTTTAAGCTCTGCCTCCAATGGAGGGCTATTATGCTCTTACTGACGAATTTTTCCCTTCCCTTGTTTTAGCCCTCTCCCCGAGAAACAAACGATATCTTTTTAAGTCAGTCAAAAGTGGAAAAAAAAAACTTATAAATAATCAAACTGAGACAAGAACACTGGCAACAAGTCAAATGTGTTAATTTTAATAGAAACGATAACTGAATCGTAGAATTTTAAAATGGCTTGTATTTTACCCCATTTTACGATTTTTACTGTACGAATAAAAAAATAATTGTTTTGTGGCAAAATGGCACTATTATTATGCTGGCATAAGGGTCGACGTTCGACCTTTACTTCTACGCTCAAAATTATGCCTGCATAATGTGTCAACCCCTGGTTATTATTTAGTACACTAGAAATAATTGGCATGCCTTGACATTCAATTTTTGTTCAGAACTTTTTTATCATATTTCCCACCAATGGCAATGTCATAGCTGCATCTTACGAACTAACTTGCATAACCTGAATCCATTTTGATCAAACATGTCCAAAATCTCGCGTGTTGCGGAAAATATTTGAAGGAAAATAAACACAATAGCCTCCGTTTGACTTTGAAAAATATGCTCGGATATTTGTCCTTGGACATTATCTGTTCCTCGAGGCTCCGAGTTTTCCTCGAGTTTCACTCTCGGAAAACTGTTCAGTCGCTTCTCGGAACAGATAATGTCCACGGACAAATATCCGAGCATATTTTCGCGCTAGATGGAGGCTGTTGTTTTTTATTCCTGATTCGCGTCTACAAATGAAATTTAAATATCGCGCACTTATTAATGAGAAGAAGAACCAATCAAATGATTGCATATAATCAGTCGTGCGGTGCATGGTCGAAAAATTGTGTGCAAATTTAAATTGCTAATTATACATCGCTGAAACATTTACAGCGTGGCGTTTCTTGGTCGCACATCTACTGTCTTGTCCAAGAATTCAACTAGCCGAAATTGAACTTGCAACAAGAATTTACTACAAGCAAACCTTGCAAGGACGTGCTTCGAACATGATGGTTCTTACGTCTTGCCAAGGTAAGAACTGTACACAAAACCAATATATTTTGTAGAAGTAACCGAGCCTTTTCTTCTTTCTTCCAACAAGTTCTCTCTGAGTAGTTGGTAAACATTTCGAAAAAATGGCACTCTTCAAATATTAGTTAAACCTTGTCCACTCAGTAACGAACGTCGACATTTAGAACTTCTTGCTATCTGTGAATTCATTCGACNATTAGTGCCGAGTCCCTTATCCTCATCAAAGTCCCGGAGGAAACCAACATCGGTGGCATGGTGCTAGAAGATGGCTGGTGCCAGCTGACAGCACAAGACCCGACTTACCCGAAGGATGTCCCGTTGTACAAATCCCCTCAGTTTGATGTTGGCTCGGTTGAATTCGATCCTTATCTAGTGACTGGATCAAAAGGAGGCGCTGTTAAGAAGTACAACATCAAAGTCAATGTGTGGTTTTGTCCAGCGAAAACCAACTGTGGCATCCATAACCACCACACGGTCCCAGAAATGCTTGAGGTACACACACAGATTTATGGAACGGGAAGAATGCAGAAGTTTCACGAGAAGGAGTTCAAGAGCATCTATGAAGATGTAATAATGTGTCCTGGCTTCACTCATGAGCCCTTCGCTGGCGTCAGGGAAAACGGCGACATCTACTATGGCTGGCATCAGTATTATTCTGATACCGATTGCATCTGGATGGCAATCGAGCATCACCCAGCTTAATTCGGCGAAAACTCGGTGATTTTGGAGAATCTCTCGGCCGATCTTAAACAAGAAATAGTAATCAAGTAACATACAATTTAGATTTAGTAAGAAGAACTTCATATTTTCTATTTCACACAAACAAAAATCGGAAACGCTTCACAACTGTCGAATGTTGACATTTCTTTGGAAAAGAAAAAAGGCAGAATTCTTTACATCCTTTTATTTCACTTGAAAAGCAGCTAAACCAGAACTTTACTGTAGTACGTTGACAGTCGTTTGGAAATTTAGCTCATCGAAGAAGAGAAAATATAATAGGATATGTTTTCAGATCATTACTCGTTGATCAATACAATACAAAACAGTAGCAGCTTAGTTTTATCTTGCATGCCTCGATTGGAATAAATGAAGGGTAAAAGGTGGAGAGACCATTCTTTGTAATGATCATGACTAAAGAGGCGTTAAAATTTTTTAAAAAAATTTCGGTTGTTCAAAACGAAATTAGACACGAAGTGGAACCTCCCTTGCCATGAAGCAGAGGGGATGTTCCCTGGCAGCAAAACGGATATAATAGCGAATGGTTATGAGGCCCCGTAAACTCAGTTCAAAGAAGTAAACAAAGATGAAAAGATTTATGTGTAAAGGCAACGCCCATGCGCGATCTTTTGTTTTGCCGTCACAACCTCGTCCCCAGGGCCCTCTCCTGAACGATTTTCAAAATGGCGGCTGTCCGCCATTTTGAGAAGTGGAGAAGGCCCTGGGGAGGAGGTTGCATACACAATACACAAATTACGCAATCGAAATGTTTCTATTGGTTCTTCAGACAGATGTAAACACCTTATTATGTGTTTTGTGGACGATCAAGGCCAAAAAAACGAAAAAAAACATATAACAAAGAACTTTGTTTGGCTCCATAACCCTCTAAGATTAACTATGAGGTGTTTTAATCAAATACCATCATCATTAGACTTATCCCGGAACTTTTTCGCTCAAGACAATTTAGGAATGTCTCTTTCCTTATTGTACCCAAAAATTAGGGGGATGGTCTGTCTTCTAAGGCTTTGTACACATTAACCTAAAACTTTTTCAGACTAATAGTCGTGCAAATCTCGTCATATTTAGCTGGATGATATATGCAAATTAGGTCACGTGACTTCTGACGGCCAAAAACTTCCAAAAATTCTTAATTGTCTTGAGAGAGCATTAAGCAAAAAAAAAAAAAATATGACGGAGCTTTTCATGTTTCAGGAGTAAATTAAATTGAATCTGGGCTACGTCTTGAAAACGAGATTCTAGTAACGTTTCGGGATTCTTTTAGACATTTCCAACAATAACCCCGTCACTTTTACATTGGGGTCGCCCTGGGGGTTTAAGCAGTACTACTTATCTATATTTTTACATGGGCACCCTAGGGTGCCTTAAACATGAGCAATCCTGTTCATATCCCCTCTAGCCCGACCCACTTTATATTTTCAGCCTGTGAGCTGGCAATCTCAGATAAGATCTTTGTATAACAACCGAGTATTTCAAAACTCCGTTCAACTGTTTTATGTTCGAGTGGAAAACAATTTTTAAAGAGCCGATTCACAGCACTTTTCTTCAACTCAACGGCTGTTATTTGGAATTTTGTTTTGTTCCCGATACTCATAGAACCTCTAATAGTCGCATTACATTTCTAATTTGGGTGTCTTGCACTACGCGCATTTTTCATTTGCAAAACTGGCGGTCATTTGAAGGGGATTTTACAGAAAATTCAAGACGCGCGATACCTCTAGCGCGTGTATCGCGCTTCGCGAAAGACATGCATGGCATTTAATTACCCGTAACGCGCATTTTAATTCCACTCGCCTCGCGCGCAGACCATGGGCACGTTACTGGTTTTTTTCTCTTCATCGCTGAGGAAGAAAGAACGGCAGACAAGAGGAAGGAAAAGTAGCTGGACAAATGTTTATTCTTCCCTCTACGCAGGTTATACAAGATATATAAATTTCTTTGTTGCCGAACACGGATATATAACGGTCTACCACTTGATATAATTATTTTATGTATAAATATGTCTATTGTTATTCTTCTGCTTAGAAGTTTCAATTTGACTGTTAACTGTTAACGAGTTTAACACGAGTGATTCCCGAACATAGCCGAGTTATCCCCGAACATTGCCAAGTGTTCCCCGAATTAAGCCGGGTGATGCTCGATTGCCATCCAGATGCAATCGGTATCAGAATAATACCGATGCCAGCCATAGTAGATGTCGCCGTTTTCCTTGACGCCAGCGAAGGGCTCATGAGTGAAGCCAGGACACATTATTACATCTTCATAGATGCTCTTGAACTCCTTCTCGTGAAACTTCTGCATTCTTCCCGTTCCATAAATCTGTGTGTGTACCTCAAGCATTTCTGGGACCGTGTGGTGGTTATGGATGCCACAGTTGGTTTTCGCTGGACAAAACCACACATTGACTTTGATGTTGTACTTCTTAACAGCGCCTCCTTTTGATCCAGTCACTAGATAAGGATCGAATTCAACCGAGCCAACATCAAACTGAGGGGATTTGTACAACGGGACATCCTTCGGGTAAGTCGGGTCTTGTGCTGTCAGCTGGCACCAGCCATCTTCTAGCACCATGCCACCGATGTTGGTTTCCTCCGGGACTTTGATGAGGATAAGGGACTCGGCACTAATAATGCTCACGCCTGCAATGTGTGACACGAAAGCGACAAGAAATGTTACAATTCAGTTGTCGCAGATCAACCACTTTTTATGATCTTTGCCTCCCCCCTTCACGCATTTTAAGTATGAAATATGCCTCTGTAAAAAAAAAAGGAATCATATTAGGTATATTTTCTTGTTCCATATTCACACAAAGAAAGTCCTTTTCTTTGGTCGCAAAGCGACAAAACTCGCAAAATCAGATGTCGTGACTAGCATGGATTGCTGGAGACACAACAAATAGCCCACATTTAATTTAGAGGTATATCGAAGCAGTTTAATACTTTAAGTTAATCAAATCAAAAAGCACTTCTGTTCTTGCCGTCTTCGACCTAAATCTTTTCCACCTAAATCTTTTCCTCCTAAATCTTTTCCTCCAAAAACTTAGTTTGTAGTTATGCGACACAGTGCGTTGCCCAGTTTCCGGCAACAACAACAACAACAACCATTTATTTGTACTCCAAAAAAAAAGTGAATCGGTTATTTTCGTTGAGAATTGTAATTCCTCCTCCACCGAAACAACCCGACGGAAATACGAACATTTCNAAAAAAAAAGTGAATCGGTTATTTTCGTTGAGAATTGTAATTCCTCCTACACCGAAACAACCCGACGGAAATACGAACATTTCAGCTATAATTTGATGGTTTCGGCGGGCTTTTTGGACCAGAAACGACTAAGCAAGGACGAATTTTGTTCAGGTGAGTAAACGTTCAGCGACTAATTTTTGCGAGTGTCACTGCACACTAAAGCTACCGTTTATATCAAGGAACTTGTTAGCTTTACCAGAAATGTCATAATTTCTTTAATACTTGAGGAAGGAAGCCAAGCTTTGAACATTTTGAAGGAAGCCAAACGAACTTTATTTGATAGAAAACTGAGAAATGTTTCTTGCATATTCGTGAAGTTATAACGATTACAAACTCTAACCATATACTGTGACCGATATAAAACGAAATCTTCACCATGTCTTAAACCTCGAACATTCATATCGTCTATATCACCTGAATTAATGGTAAACCAATAAATTAAACTCCCAACGACCATACAACCTAGTGTAAAATATAAGTGTTATTACCTTGTAAAATGGTCGACTTGCGCGGAGGTAAGACTTTGCGAGGCTCCGGACCCGAAATAATGGCGTCTTTGTTGGAGATATTCACGACTATGTTAGGTTTCTTTATCATGTGATCTGTCACATCTGTCAACCATCTCGACTTCAGAAACTTGGAAAATTTCAGAGGCTTTTTTGAGTTAAATACCATTTTCCTCAGCTCCTTAGACTCTAATCTGTCGAAGCGTGCAGGATAAATTAATCTCAGTTTCTATCTGTTGACCTGGGTGATATTGCCTGTCTCAAGATGCAAATTTCTTTAGTACGTGTTCTTGTCACACAATACTACCAGGCCTACAAAAACGTGACAATTTCAAACTCTTTAGCCGTTTTACAGCACTTCCCGATTAGTCGAAGTAATTTTTGTTCTGTTCCATTGGCCTAAGACTTTAGAATCAAAAATCAAATATCATGCTTTTAAGCTCTGCCTCCAATGGAGGGCTATTATGCTCTTACTGACGAATTTTTCCCTTCCCTTGTTTTAGCCCTCTCCCCGAGAAACAAACGATATCTTTTTAAGTCAGTCAAAAGTGGAAAAAAAAAACTTATAAATAATCAAACTGAGACAAGAACACTGGCAACAAGTCAAATGTGTTAATTTTAATAGAAACGATAACTGAATCGTAGAATTTTAAAATGGCTTGTATTTTACCCCATTTTACGATTTTTACTGTACGAATAAAAAAATAATTGTTTTGTGGCAAAATGGCACTATTATTATGCTGGCATAAGGGTCGACGTTCGACCTTTACTTCTACGCTCAAAATTATGCCTGCATAATGTGTCAACCCCTGGTTATTATTTAGTACACTAGAAATAATTGGCATGCCTTGACATTCAATTT